CGCTCTTCCCATATCTACCTATTTGCTTTCCCCGCAATCTGGGAAAGCAAAATACAATAGACAAATAACCTGATCTAATCTAAGCCTTCTTCTCAGACAGGTTGAAATCTAACTAAATTGTTTATTTCTCTAACCTGTTCTAAAAAATTTCCAAGGATGGAAAATCTATTCCAGTGCTTCACTGTTCTCACCAGGAAGACATCTAATCCCAAACTCTCTTTTCTCAGTTTAATTCCATTACTTTGTTCACCTGTTATTATTTGAAGAGTATTACCAAGACTGATCAGTATTCTCTAGGCTCAGAAATCCTAACTCTCTCAGTTTTCCCTTATGCTTTCCAGATCATGCATGACCACTCTTAGAGTTTTCTTTGTATTCTCTATAGCAGGTGTGCATTTTCTCAAAGAAAATGGCCCAAATAAGTTGAATTATTTCAGCTAAGACATTACCAATGCCAGATGAAGCAGGAGGCTTTCTTCACAAGTCTTATAGATGATGCTCTTACATACATATCTTTGATATTGTATGTGTGCAGTTGAATATGTGAAAGTGGAGAAACAACACATTTGTTCTTACTGAATTGCATTCCCCATTTTTCCAAAGTATTTCTCCAATTTGTTAAAATTGTTTTCAAATCTAATCTTGAACTCCACCATGCCTGCAGTTTCTCCCAGCCTGGTGTTATCTGCTCTCTTCTTAAGCAGTTAATGAAAACATTGAATATCAAATAGATGTGGGGTAGCCCCCTGCAGATGCCGCTTAACTGTTGGTTTAGATCAACAGTGAGCCCTTAGGAGCCATACTTTCTAAACAGTCTTGCATCTATCACTTAACAATTTCATCTAGACCATATTACTTAAGTTTGCTTGGAAGAACATCATGGGAGAGAACATCAAACAGTTTATTAGTTAAGTGGTACAATATATATCCCATCTGTTAAATGTATCTGTTACCAGATATATTTATTAGAATGTGTTCTTGGCATACTTGAAACCCATGTCTGATGTTATCTTATCTTCTTGCTGCATCCATAAACTGCCTGATTATTTTTCCAGTATCTTTCTGGAAATGAAAATTGATCCAGCTACTCTACCCCTCCTGTTTGCCTAACATCAGGGCCAACTCTTCCCTGTTCCAGTCTTCTGAAACCTTGCCCATCGCCTTTGATATCTCAGATAGTCACCGAACCTTATCTTTAATTAGGAAAAAAAAAAAAAAAAAAAAATCCAGTCCTCTAGAGCTAAATTTTGTGAGCATTTTCAGACATCCAGTATGTCCCTATGACATTAAGTTCTTACGAGAACTCAGGCCTAACATGGCTGTGAACCTTCCTTACCAGGCTGTGGCCAGTGATAACCAGACCATACACTCCATTTGCTTGCTCATCAGGTATAATTTGGGGTTTTTTTGATGATTTTTCAAACTGAATGTTGATTTCATCACTGTCCAGAAAGGAGTCTGGCTTCATCTTTTTCCTTGCATTCCTAAAAAAAAATGCAGAATAATAATGAAAACAACATGCATGGTTTAGCTGCTGCTGTTTTTGCAGACCACCAACATGGTTCTGAAACTCCAAGAAGTGTGTGCTAAACCTGTGCTGATTTAAAGTCAAACAAACCATCTGAATGCCATAAAGGACATTATCCCAAAGGGCATCCCAATTTTCTGTGCACGTTGTCTGACAACCACCTACTTCAACAGAAAGGGACAGAAAAACTTTCCCATTTTCCACCTATAACTAAGAACTTGTGTCTACTGAGGAGGCTATGGAGGAAGACAGATTTACAGATAATGAGAGAAAAGTACCATAGCACAAAGGACTGCAAGGTGGATAGCAGTAGCAGTAGAGCAACAGCATAGCTCTAGCCTAGGGCCAAAGGCTTTGTTGCTCGGTGAACATCAGCTGATATTGCCTGCCTGACTCTTCCTTCTACATTTATATAGATTTGAGCTCTTGGATCAAGAAGCTTCAGAATTTATGCTCAGAGGAGATTCCTATACTATGTCACTGGTGGATCTTCGAGGGAGCCAGCTAGCTGTTATCTGAGGTCCCTGAATGAAGTGCATCAAGTAAAGCCAACAGGAAAAAAAGGTGGAATAATACAAACCATAGAATCATTGAACAGTTTAGGTTGGAAGGGACCTTAAAGATCATCTAGTTCCACTCCCCCTGCCATGGGCAGGGACATCTCCTTCTAGACCAGGTTGCTCAAATACAAATGCAAAATACAAATACTGTTCCATTCCAGTGTCAGTGCACAGCAAGGAAGCTGTGTATTTCAGCCATTTACCTCAGCTCATTAAGTACGTCATCAGATGTGTGGCCTTCAATAACGAAAACGTCATCCATGTCATCATTCAGCAAGTTGCAGGAGTAACCAATATTCATTGCCGTCTCTGGGAAAGACAAACGAGGAAGATGACCCATCTTAGCAGCCCCAAACTCACACAACATCTCTGTGGCCTTTTTACATGCAAGACAAAAGATCTCTTTCTCACTAAAAAGAGCTCTAAGCCTTTCAGAGTCAACAGTTTTAGAGAGCAGCAAGACGTAGCAGCAAATCTCCCCTAATTCGGCTTTACAAGGCCACAGCAAAAAATAGTTCCACCGAAATGAAAAAGCTCAAAATACCCTTTAGCCAACATACTTGGAACAACAAAAAACATTTTGTGTTGATTCGAAAAGGTTTTATTAGGATATTTAACTTTCCATCCCCCTGCCCCCACAAAAGCCCCATACCATAGTTCTGAAGAAGAATATCAAGACAATTTGCTCAAAAAAATCAGAAAAAACAGTATTTTGCTATTTCATAAGCAAAACTATTACATTTGGAACATGTCAAAATGAAAAGTTTAATTTTTCTCAAAAATTGTCTTCTCATTTCTTAGATAAAATTATTTGCAAACACTTTTGGCCTCCGTGAAACACCATTGCTTCAGTGAAGTTGCTATTTCTCCACAAGAATTTATTGGAATCTATTGTCATTTCTTTCCAATTTAATGCTTTCTTCAAAAGCCTATATTTCTTCCATTTCTACTCTGGATCGTTAATGCCAGGACCAAATTGAAACCAAGCCAATATGCACTTTAGCATTGAAGTTCCTGGAAAGCAGGACAAAGTCTTTTCCACCTTCACCAGGTTGGTTAACTGTACTAAACCGACACCTTATCACAGCATCCAAAGGCAAAGGATGCTGCCTTCACACTGCTTCCAGCCTCAGGACAGGAATTAAGAACAGGCACTAATCTGGTCTAATTCCAGATAACTGGAGCTTTGCCTGGCTGACAATGAAGCAAAGCCTGGTAAGTTTGTCCTCTGTGCAGTTTATCAAAGGAGAAAGAATGAGAACATGTGTCTTAGCAGAACCATCCACCAGTGGGAGAGAAGAGAAACATCCAAAGCTGTAGCCCCTTTACCTTGTTTGTCTCCAGTAAGAACCCATATCTTAATGTTGGCTTTGGCAAGAGTCTCAATTGTCTGTGGGACTCCATCTTGTAACTTGTCCTCAATCGCTGTGGCACCTAGCAGCTTAGCAGAAAACAGCAGGGAACTGGTTAAGTCTTCCCATTGCTAGCAAAGAAGGAAGCATTAGACCTCCAGGTAATTACTCAAGAAAACACAAATGAATTCCGGGAATAACGGTGTACTGATTTTCACTCTTCCTCAGCAAATGCAGTGTACAGAGTAGAGCTCTGATCCTGCAAAAGTTCTAGTGTCTAATCCCTCAGGCTCAGATGGATCACGAACGTGCATGAAATTATTGGCCAACACGTTTGCAGACCTACAGGTCTATGTTCTTCCACCTGTCCCCTTCACAGCAGATAGAGCTGTCACTGAGGGACAAAGATGGCTGTGGATCCGCAAACCTCCATATGCATCCTGTAGTGTGGAGCTTGCTCCCAGCCATATTGTAACGCAGCAGACATATGGCTGCTAAGCATCTTCTCAAGCCCACAACAGACCTGTCCCCACCCCTGCTCTACACTGTCACACAACTAAACCACAGACTGCTTAGGGAACAAACATTTATTATTTTAAAGTTATTGCTTTTTCTGCATTTTGGAGATACTTGGTGGCTTTAACCTATTGTCAAAGGGACATGAAGGTTTCGCTGCTAGCTCAGGTTTAGACAGCATCTGCTACCACCTACCTCCTGCTGTTGGGAGACTAAATTCAGGGGTTGGCTTTAAGCCCAAGATCCCTTCTGGCTTCCTGGGATGTTCATCATTCATCAGTTATGAGTGTTATCAATGTAGATAACAGCTCTGAGGGAACTTCTCTATAGGGTCCTCAAAACTGCACAATCCACATTTTACAGCAGTAGTCCCTGGTCCAGCTAGTGAGACCTTAAATGCTTGTAGCATACAAAACCCCCTCCTGGGAGTACCTGCTCATCCTTGGCAGCCTGAGTCTGAGCTGGAAGCCCAAGGATGGACACTAATGTCAAATGTGCCCAGGAACAGTGAACGGGACCATGTATTCCCCACAGCTGCAGAAAGGCACAATAGTATTGTTGGCAGGCCTTTACCTGTCTGCCCATGACCAACAGCTGGAGGGACAGCTGTGATGACTTCCTGACCATGCATCTTCCTTAGTTTTCAGGTCAACCTACCATAAATAGTATTTTTACTACTCTTCACTGAATATAACCATGTTCCGTCCCTATTCCCCCTTGTTTTCCTTATATCCTTACTCCCCCTAAGGACCCTTATCAGGAGTCTGCCACACCGAGGGACTTCTGCTCTTGCCTGTCAACCTGACCATGATACTTGACAGTCCTCTGCATCTGCACAAGACCTTTCTACTTCCTTGCTGACTCTGGCTCTCGCACCCATTCTCTGTCACAAGCCAGGCTTTCCTACACTCGCCCTCTGCCTCTCCCTGCAGCACCTTCAGGAAGTAAAGTCACTCCTGTAGAGAACACAGAGAAGGGGCAGGTGTAACGAGTGTTTTCTTCCGAGCCACTCTTCTTCCTGCTGTGAGCCTGTGATGTCTTCTCTACTCAGGCCACGAACTTCATAAACATTTCTTGCAAAGCACCTGGCTCCTCAGCCTCCTAAACCTCCCTGTCTTTCCTGCTTTGGACACTTGCACGGTATTCTCTGGACTGGAGAATTATCCTTTTTCCCAAACAGACCCAGAAGGGCAGTAGGCTCTGCTCTGTGGGCTGTGCAACTTCCAGAGGTCAGCAGCTCCTCAGCTGACGCTGGCTTCTTCCCGAGCCCTGCTGGCATCCTGAGCGTAGGGCTAATGGAGCAACAGTGCAGCTCCCAGGATTTCCGAGATTTCAGAAACGCAGTACTGCGAGTGCAAGAGCTGAATTGCTTCCCCTCAGATCCCACACATCCTTTTCATTCATTATTCACGGCTCTAAAACACAGGCAGAGCCGCCCCCCCGCCAGGCGTTCAAAAAGCTGTAACAACACTCATGGAGAAAAGAATGACTTGAAGATCACAGTTTAGCCCTATTTCAAATTGACGCAAACATGTTCATGGACATCATCTCCCCATCCTGCCCAGGGCTGCAAGAACAAAGGAGACGCTCTCTGATACGGAGGGGCACTGGGGATTGATTATTCACTGCCTGCCATTTCAAAGACAGGAAAATAAATAGATCAGCCATTTGCACATACAAAGGATAGCGATGAAATATTTGTGTCCACGTCATCTCCCTCAGGCTCTGGTATGTCACTTCATCACTATGTCACTTCATCAAGAGAAAGCTACTCTGACACCCACATGAGTTAAAATAAAACCATTCCCTTGCACTGGTGGGTGACACCTCAGTTACGGGCTCCTGGCGGAGGTGCCAGTGAAAACCCAGGACTGCCATATTCCTAACTGCTCCCGTCACACAACCCACTGAGATGTTTGCAAAGCCATGTTTACCGAAGTCATACTGAGCTGTTTATTGACAAACCACCATCCTCACTGCCTCCCCCAGAGCTTGGACCATATTCCCTGAAACACCAACCATTAGGTCTTTTTCAATCTCCTCATATAACTCCGACAATTTATCTTCCCGTCCTTCCAAGGCAGTGCTTGCTTCATGGTGACGCCTGATCCAGTCCTGAAAGTAGTCTTCATCCAGGTTTTTATAGGCCACCACGAGTGTCCTCAGAGCTTCACCAGCAAACTCCTGCAAGACAAGGGTGAGGCAGAATAGGTCAAAGAAGAACAGTCTGCTCACTTGGGCTTACAAAGGAACCATGGAAAGCAAAGGTCCATCTGTAAAATCTTCTTGCCTATGGTCTGCAGAGAAAAGGTGAAAAAATCACACCTTAGACCACAAACCTTAGGGTACTTTTTAAAAACTAGTTCCAGACCACTTTATTATTGCCAGGCACGGCCCTCACAAAGAACAAATTCAGAAGAGCTTTCCAACTCTCTGACTCTAAATCTTTACATTAACCAGGTAGTTGTTTCCTAGGTTTGTATTTCTCAACATAAGGTTCAGAACAGTGAGACCTGAATAAATACTGAACACAGACTTGAATTTTGGACCTGGGCTCAACATTTTTAGGGTAGAAGTACTAGCTGAAATGCGCAGCATGAGCAGAGTCAGTTATGACACCTCAGCAAGTCCTTGTAAGTGTGCTTTCTGCAGATGCGTGATTGAGGTTATGGATCTCGGTATTTGGTGGGATAAGAGAGATCTCAGTGTGAAAAGTGAGGTGTTCCCCCAGGCTTGAAGTAAAGGTGCATCAGGAACAGGCTACATCCACAGATCTGCTGTGCCCTCTCCTTCACCAGCAACCTTCTATGTCTCCCCCAGGCCGTGAGCAAGATGTTTGTGCTATTGCACAACCTCTCTGGCAAAACTTTCTGTTATCTTGTGGTCTGAACCGTATCAGCAGGATCTGGCAACACAAGAGGGAGCAAATATTGGCCAAAACATCCACTTATGTGAGTAACCACTGCCCAGCTCACACCAGCAACAATTTAAAAGGCCACAAGTCTGAGTGATGGCTTTTCCTTGCTGCCCAGTCAATATGCCCCCACATGATCTAGAAGAAGGGGAGGTGAGCAGGTCCCAGCACCTGTTCAGTCCCTTCTGACTGAGACCTCTCGGATCACAGTCACTGCAGATCTGAAACGCATTCAAGAAGGTAAACAGTTCTGGGGCTCTTTACTGATCAACTGAGTTATTCTGACCCAAGGCATGCTCAAATGCATCAGGTGCCTGCCTTGTAAAGTAACTGCAGACCTGGATGGAATTTAGTTGCCAAAACACAGATGTGTAGTGCCATTTCAGGTGTTTCACCTGTTCTACATGGCTTCCAGCTCCTACTCCAGAGGAGTACAAGTCTTCTGAATGTCCTTCATTGTATTTGCCATCTGTGTCCAGATGTGCTGGATATCCTGGAGCAGTTCAAATGGCACCATGCTTTGGCAACTGATTTGAGACCTAAGGCTTTATAAATTAATTTCCCTCTCCATTCTCCATGAAAACAAAACAAAACAAAACCCAATTAAAAAATCTGTGCTTGAGTGCTGCTTCTGAAACCCGTTTTTTTATGTCAGTACAAAGTACATTTCCATGTCTGGAGAAAAGAAAACCATGAAACGCAGAGATGTGGTGCAGAAGGAAACACTTACATTCAGGTGTTCTGTGGTCTCCTCTTTGAGAGAGTCGCAGGATGAATGAAGCAGTTCATAAAGAATGGTGTCAGCCCCCTTGCAGTACAAAGTCAAGTCACCTTCCGGACTCCGCACTACAGGGAAGAGGAAGAGAAATGCTACAAATCCCAGATTGAGGCACTTGGGATTCAGAGCATTTGCATCAAAACAAAGACAGGTTTTTAGAGGTGTCCAAACTCCACCAAGTGTTGGAAACCTCCCAGGAATCAAGACAAGCTTTGGTTAGAACAGAAGATAATGCAACTACTCTCCACATCAACGGCAGCAGAACAGGGAACTGTACCCAGATTGCATTGGTCTGAGCAGATGCTCTGTTCAACCATGTGGTTCCTACAGACAACACTTCAGGCAGGACATCTGCATTCAAAAGTCAAGAATAATTTGTTCTTAGGGAACTGGTCCTACTGCTCCTATGGCTCCTACCAGTAAAGGTACTACCACTCTCTTGTTACAGTTATGATATACCAATTCCTGAAATATCTGAAGATATTGGGGGGTTAATAAAGGCCACATGAGGTTTCTTGAATCATTTCTCCATTTTCCTCTCAGGAAAGTGGGCTTCTCTACTCAGCCTTGTATTCTCCTTTCCCACTTTCTCAGATTTTGCTGGTAATTTAGAAGCTGATTAATAGGAAGGCCTTTCCTGCACTCTCATGAGGGAGGTAAGTTATGTAGAAGGCTTAGTTAGTGTCTTCAGGAGGCTGCTCCATCATTGTGCTCCAGATGCTAAGATGTTCTCCCACAAGCCTAAGTATTTATCTAGCACTGTTGCTGTGTAATTGAAAAGTCAAGGCAGCCCACCTCAAGCGCTCAGAAGTAAATTATTATTATTATTCAGCAAGCATTGCAAAGGAGGTCTCCTAGGAAAAGGCATCACAGCAGAATGAGGGCCAACTTGAAAGCCTACAAAGTCAGGAAGGAAAGAAAGGAGCAAAGGGAACATACCAATAACAGACATTCGCTTGCGAACATTGTTGAAATCAAGAATAGCCAGGAGTTTGTAAATTTTTGTTTCTCCCATTTCCACGACAGTGATAGTCTCTGGTGTGCGAGCCCGGAACACAAATCCAAAGTTTCTGGCAGCAGTGACAAGGGCTCCCTCGTCGGGAGATTGTGCCTGATACATCAAGTTACCTGACATGCAAGAAAAAAAAAAAAAAAAATGTGGCTTCTGCTTTGTTTCTGAGGCTAAACAAATATAAAATCAAAGACATTGTATAGCAGTTAACATTTTGCTTTTCTGCCTATCCCCAGAGATGCAGCAGTAAAAAGCTCAACATGTGTCCATCAAGTGCCATCAACACATCCTCCAGGCCAGTGCAAGAGGCCCTCTAGACTCTTTGGGGTCTTTTATCACTCTCTTTGGAGTCCAACAGATCTCACTGAAGGATAACTTCCTTGGGTTTAACCCCTCCTAGTTACATCTGCATGTATTTTTCTCATGAGTATTTTCAGCTTATATGTTTCAATTAATGGTTCCAGCCTTTAAAGCACAGTTTTCACCCTGTCTGGGATTGGAGGAGACAGACCCAGAACTTGTGGGAACACTGGGTGACTTAAGCTAGCGAGGCTCCGGCCGTTAGGTGCTCTGTGCTCTTTTCTTTATGGGACGTGGTGCAGAGTGGAGAAACAGTGGGGCAAGCCATTTGCCACCTCAGGGAGGCTGTGGCACTTGTAATTCTCCAGAAATGTGGTGTTTGCAGTAGTGTCAGCTCCACCACAGGAACACACAGGGAATGGAGGCCCTGGTCCTTTCTCTTTCCAAGTGGCATCTCCAAAGGCAGTGATTTATGTGTAGCCATATACTACGGAAAACGACCAGGGAGCCAAAAGGACCAATAACAGCTTCTGTGGAGAGGAGACATACTGTGGTGCAGGGTGAACATAACCACTCAGTTTGGTGCCTTCAACAGTCCTCACCTTCCTTCTTCTCTTCTGGCATCACTGTGTGACAAAGTGAGAGGAGCCGAAAGAACCTGTGTGTCGGGACATCACCCAGCTTCACAGATTCCACCAGGCTATGGTCATAGAAGGCAAACTTCGGGTCAGCTAACGGGTTGTATGAGAAATCAACCTTCTCTGTGTTCTGCAAAAATATGGTTTGGTGTTATTTGTGGAGCTCTCACATGGTCCCATCATAGCCCCCCTCTCTTCCTTACAAAGGGCTCTCTCCTGCAGGGCTGTTCATGACAGAAACTGATGAGTCTAGGAGGTCATGAAAGCTACTGCATCACAGGAGAGGACAGACACTTGAGGTACCTTTCAAAGCAGCACCCAGGCTGAGAACCTGATTAGCTAAAGATGCCTCTCTGTATGACAGCAAATGCTCCTACAGGATCCCAGACTAAGGATTTCTATAGCAAGGAAATGGCTGCCTTCAACACATGCCTGCTGGATGGCATCATGGTCCTGATTTCAATGGCTGCCTGTGACAGGGGAATGTGGAAGCCCAATTTAAAACAATTCAAAAGGCTGTGTTGTCCACCTTATACTTGCAAAGCAAGAAAAAATCCTGATACGGAAAAAGATGACAGACAAATGATGTAAAGGTTCAACCCCACAGGCACTGCCCATTTTGTCTAAAAAAAAGGAGCTCCAAGCAGAGGGGAACACGGTGCAGAAATGGCCAGAAGATCACAGCATGATGTGTCATGGAGGAATGCACTGCTGAGCCTGCCTGGGACGATAACGACTCCCACCCCATCCCCAATGAGCTCAGAGTTTCCAGGATGGGAGTCATCCTCTTGACCCCTGCCAGCTGACATTTAGCACTTACTGCAAGAGCACAGGCCCACCACAAACACACACACTCATCTGCACAGCAAGGTCCAAGCGCTGCAGCACTGTGGATGTGTGGGCAGCAGCCTTTTGACCTGCAGGACCCTGCTCTGGTGAGTATCATGGCCAGGAGGAGCTGCCGGGCAGCCAGTTGGCAGGAGACCAGCATGTCTCCCCAAGCAAGTCTGCCCTTTGCATTTTGCTGCCTGAGCAAAGTCAGCCTGGAGGCACTGCACTCAGCACAAAAAGCCAATTTCAGTTTTAAATGGCGTGGACATGAATCATTGGAACGAGGAGTGGGATTTTCATCATCATCTTGCTTGGATTACTGCATGCAGTTTTCAGACATTTTAGGCAGTGAAATCCAAGACGTGGTTTTGTGCTAGCAAGCAGAGGCTAGACAGATATGGAGGAGTCACCCATTTTCACACTTTCCAATGTCGAGACATAAGGGGAATTCGACAGTGACCTTGTTATCAATATGAACTGAACTCACTGATTCCCCACCAAAGCTTTAATTAACTGCCAAGGATAAGAAAATTAACCAATGTCCAAGTTTCCAACCAATAACAATGGCCCAGTATTCAAGAGGAGCTGTGCATGCACTAAGGTGTCATGTGAAGCTGAGGGAACAGCGGGCACTCAGGCTAACTGACCTGCAGGTTTAAACCAGGCTTACTGGAAGGGAATGCAACTCTATTGATCCTCTGACATCCACAAGAACACACATCCCTGTTGTCAGGGTCAAGAGCATCATCTCTTGCAGGGTCAAAAGCATGACCTATGCCTGGGTGGGTTGTGTCCCCTAGCACCTCTGCAGGCAGGTTCACTGACAGCACAGATCCTGATAACACTTGAACACTTACCTCGTTTATTTCTATCCTTTGCCCAGACATATCATATACATCACCTGCAAGCAAGAAAGACTGCGGTTATAGCCACAAACACCAGATAAGTGCAGTCTCTGAGCTTCTCTACCACAAAAATTTGTTAACGCATTCTGAAGCTAGTATCTGGTTAAAAAGTTTTAATAAGCATAAATATCTTGACATGAGTAATGAAGACTGATGATTAACATCAATCAGTTTCTATGTTAATCCAGAGACTGACAGATGCTTGAAACACAAAGCAGTTACCATAAAAATGACTGGCATTTGGGTAAAGAAGACTTGACTGACGCTGAACCCAGAAAGGATGTAGTGCTAGGTAGGAAACGAAGGTGCTTTCAGGGGATGACTTCTCTTGTACTTTCCCTTTGGAATCTGAGACAAAATCCAGTTCCTGGATCATGTTGGGTTTGCAACAGTCCCTGGACAACCACAGAGAAGGAGTTGTCAAAGCTCATTCTTCCCACATCTAGGTAGCAAGGCTGCTCCATTCATTTTCCCTGAACTGATGATCTGGTCACAGAAATGGAAGACATCTCATCACCAGGAAACACTACTGAAACTTCTGCCTGAAGAAAATTTCACTTGGGAGGTCTGAACTGTACCCAGCCCAGTGGATCCAACACTTCAATGAAATAAGCTTGAAATACAGTGAACTACATGAATGATAGATCCATACCTGCACCAGCAACCTCAACTGTGGCCACAGTCTATTCTAGGTACAGGTATTACTTCATAAAAGCCCTGAGGGTGTAGAAAAAACTCAGAAGCCACATCTCCTGAGAAGTGCACATCAGTTCATCCCCTGGGAACTGTAACTGAGAGTCGTTTCGACACCTCCTTCCCAATGGGAAGCCTAAGACTCCACACTACCCTCCCTGGCAGCAGAACTAATTCATCCTTTCTGGCACAGCTTTCCCAAATGCCCCCGAGCAGCAAATCCAAAGGAGTATATTCCAGGGAAGAAGCTAAGCATTTAGAAAACTATAGGCAATAGACTGTCTGCCTTCTTTCCACATATTTCCTATTCATTTATTGAACCCACATCTTATGTCTGTGTTTAGTGGTGACATTCACTTTGGAAAAGTCAGCTGCGGGACACAAGAATGAACAGACTGAATATTTTCCAAGCTGTTTAGCAGCACTAGTGTTGGCTAGCCTAGTAGCGCTGTTTGAGATACGGTGGTCTCCAATTACACACAGCACAAGATTTATAGGAAAATATAACTTCTTTTATTAGGCCAGCTAATATCACTAAGAGAAAAGACAAGCTTTCTGGCACAGTAGTTCATCAGCAGGTCTGACACAGGCAAAACAAGCATCAATCTACGAATAAGCAGTAACTAATTTCTCTGGGGGAATCAATTAGTCAGTTTGTGAATTGTTACGACCTCTTGAGCAGTATGAAGAACACTGCCAAGGGCCATATAATGAATGAGACTTTTGAGTCAATGACTGTTAGGATCTAACAGAGGTAACAAATTTTCTTCCCATTTTTCCCAAGTCCCTGCAAACTTTTGTCTCTTCCGGTAGGTGCAGTACGTCAGGGCTGCAGACACATGTCCAAGCCATTGACCAGGTGCTGACTGAAGGTTAAGCTACCTGAACAGGATGTAGAAATCTGCTGATTGTGACAGGAGAAACTGCTGAATGTGAGAGATAACAGTGTGAGAAGCTGACAAAATATAACGCCCCGAGGGACAGATAATTTCACAAGTGGTTAAGAGAGAGATAGTTATGTGAGCTATGTGTTATGCTTTGCAGGGCTAGCACCACCTGGGTAACCATGTCAATAATACCTTAAAAGGCTGAAATTACCTGGGCAGTGATATCAGGAAAAAAAAAAAAAAAGAGTACAGATGCAGTAAAACTGGGATAACCAATGAGGAAAAATTAATAAGGTGCAGGATCTTTAGCTGGGACAATAGTGGGGCAGAAAAAGGGAGGTAAAAGGGTGGCAAAAAGAAGAAACAAAGGAAAAGAAAATGATATTAAGGTATGCAAGTGATGTAATCCAGGCTGTCCAGGCATCCCTGATGGGCAACCCTGCACTTAATCACTGCAGTTTCTTGCAAGACACTCTCGTCTGGATGTCACATTTAGTCTCTGTGGACCAAGAGGCATGCAATAGAATAAAACCTGGACAATAAGACAAACATAACATACCGTAGGATTTGCCATTGATGGAGCACTTGTTGAAACACATGATGTTCTGAGTGAGAGTTCCTGTTTTGTCTGAGAAGATATACTTGATCTGCCCCAGCTCTTCATTGAGTGTAGTGGTACGGGCCTGAGCTGGCGTGTCATTAAACGGATAATACATTTTACGGTCCCAGTCAATGTAGAAACTGTTACCCAAGCGTATAATCTCTACACTGGAGAAAGAGAAGGTGATGGAATCTTTATTAGTTTAAGGGAGAAGATCTTTGTCTTCAGCACCACCATTACCGATTGCAATTAGAAGACAACTTTGACAGTAATGACAGGGTGTACTCATCGGGTTGTCCTCAAATGGCCTGTAGTAAGCAATGCTGAAGCAAGTCCCACTGAAATGGTGTTAGGTTTATAGCAAATTCCTTTCCTTTATTTATAAAACAAGGACTTATAAGTGTATTTGAAAAGTTTCAGAAGTTTTCAGACTGAAAAGCAAGGCAGGGGCAGTGGGTTTCACTTGGTGCAGGTTGAGGAGTGGTGCTCAGACGGGGAAGGGTTCCAGCAGGGCTCTGGGCTGGGCTGAGCCCGGTGCCAAGGGATGAGCACAGCCACAGCTGAAACAGCCCAGAGCTCCACAACAAGTGAGTCATTGTGCAACTCAACACAGCCAAGGAGCCGTATCAGCTTGCAGACAACATGAATTTCTACTTTACTGCTGGTGTGACATGGTGGGCAGGAACGGGATTAATTCCTCATATTCATCAACACAAAAGGGGGTCTCAGTAGCAAAGCTGCCCGAAGAGTTAGGTCCAATGATAAAACTACGCAGCCTTATTCAGTCTACAGCCCAGCCTCAAGGTTTTGAGAGCATCGAAGATGCACTGCCTACCCTCTACCCCTGCTTACCTATCTGCATTAACCGACATAGCCCTACACTGTCTGGGAAGTGACGACACTCACTCTGCTCATACAGCATCAAGTACTATGGATCCTCAAACTGATTACACCTACTTACCCGGCAATCCACTCCTCACATGAGCCCGACAGCCACCTCCAAGAATGTGCCATTCACTTTGTTTGATGGGCAGTCCAAGTGGGAGAGAGCAAGATGCTACTACTAACAGGCTTCCAGTCTCAGTCCTATAGCATCCTACACCTACATATCTCTTTTAACTGGATAGCATGCTGTCCTCTTCCAGGGCTCTCTACTGTCCCCACTCCAACCCTGACAAATACCTCAAGAGCAGAAGAAAGAAGAAAAGCACCACCATGGTTGTGTGTGATTGTCCACAATGGGGTTGCATTTGTGTCAAGGAAGAATGCCACTCCTAGCTAAAGCAGAAGCTAGACCTCTCCTCAGATGAAATATGAAAGGAGATTCCAGCACGTACCTGACGTAGAGCGAAATTGGCACCACCGTATTTAGAATGATCACGTATGACCAGAACATGAGGAAACCGGAGTAGGAGGCAGAGTTGACACCCTCTGCCCAGGGCAGATAGACCTGGAAGTAGTAGCCTTTATCATGCTCCCAGATGCCATTGCCAATGGCTAGGATAAGACACATCAGTGCTAAAAATGCAAAGATCTGAAAACAAAACAAAACAAAACAAAGATACTGCATTTTAGAAACAAGGAATTTATTATGTACAGGTTAATCAGAAGACCCTAATGAAATTTGGTTGGACAGCCTGAATCACGCCAAAAAAAAGTTTCCTAGGGGTGAAGAAGGAAAACCAGCAAAGTCATGACACTTTTACCCCAAGGACAAAGCTACAGATACAGTGCAGAGTCTGGAAATTTGGAATAACAAGGCTTCGAGCAGCTGGGGATTCAAGAACCAAGCAGACACCTAAACCGGGTGCTCGTGGGCAGCTGGCGGTAAAACATCAGATCTCATGACAGGTGAGTTGAGCTGCGGGTCCTCAAACATCTGGCTGTGCACTTGGGAATAGAAACTGCCTGGTGGATTTTACCTGGCCATTTGGTGGATATATCACAGTTCTCCTCAACATTTCTGAAAAACTACTAAAGATAATTTGTAACACAGGAAATCCAGCACAGTGCAGGTTGGAATTCAGCACTGGATATCATTCTGATGGTTAAAGTAGAGTTAATCACTGACTCAGAACTAATGGTTGCCTTGGTACCTGCCATCACAATCTGATTACATTTCCTTTGAGCAAACAGAAAGCAACACTAATCAGTGATGTGTATCCTTGGACTTTAGAGAAGCCTATTTCCTGAAGCCTAAAGCAACCAGGGGAACAGCAACTGGGAAGAGAATTTCAAAGTGGGACACCTCAGTGAAACTGGGACTTTCTCACGAATGCTATTTAATAGACACAAAAACATTACATAGGGCATAAAGTATTTTTGATTAAAAGAAGACAAGAACATTGCAATACAATCGTTTGGAAAAGAATACATAAAGAAGGGGAAGAAGGGAAGTTAACAGAAATTGATAAAAACTACAAGGAATTATAGAACTATGAATATCTAACAGTCATCTAAAATATCAAGAAAAGAAAAGAGTAAACTAATCAACAAGTGTGGAAAAAAACAGACATGTTCAACAGACAGTCCTCCATGAATGAAGGAGGAAGGAGGCAGAAGGAAGTATCTATACTGTATGCTGTAGCAGATGAAAAGACAGATTACCTTCTGTGACAAGGAACACTACATGGTTCTACCTGTAATAATCAGCATTTTCAATCCCGTGTGTCCAGGTAATTTAAAGATGAAAGCTTAGAGGGACTAGCTGAGAAATTCTCACAACTGGTAAGGTTAATTTTTAACAATGCTTTGAAAATTGGGAAGCTCCACCATACTGAAAATAGGCTAACATAATTCCAGTATTTGAAAGGTAGAAATGGTGATCGAGCGACAGATAAATCAAAGTTAGCTTGACATCCTTCCTGGACAAAAGATAATAAACTCAGTTCTGCTGATATGGACTTCTCCAAATAAATGACTTAAAACAACCAACATCCTAATAAAAATGTGTAGATATGGAATCAACAAGCTGCGCAACAGAGCAATTAAAAAACATATTTTGCAAGTATAATCATTAGGGAGCAAATATCAGTAAGTTGGGCTATTATGTATAAGGCCACCCAGTAACAATCACATTAAAACAGTAATCAACATTTTTTATAAACAGTGATTGTGGTACAAACAGAAACATTGCTGGTAAAGCTGATATTTTTATTGCTGAGGTAATCTATGAGAGGAAGAAGGATACTTTAATGGAGCGATTTGAATAACTTGGTGAAAAGTTCACATCCAACCAACTTGAGTTTTAATACCAAGTAGCTGCTAAAGGGGGGTTGCAGTAAGTAAAGGTGTTGGGCTGAGTTTCAGGGTACACGTGTATTTCCCACATCAGTAATAGCTTTTCTGTTTAATTGTGGGAGGCCAAATAAATTACTCCACTTGTGAAATAGAGACAATGTTGCTTGCTGGTAAGGAATGTGGTGCAGTGTTTTTAAACCTCTGTGACCAGCAGTAAAAACAGACTTCAATTTGTGCTGTTGTATCATTGGGACTTAAGTGTATATGAGAGGCACGACCCAGGGACAGGTAGTGTCCTTTATTAAACCAATAGACATAAACAGAGAAAATAGACAAGCCTGTCTGTTTTTATAGATACTTCTCTTGGTCAAGTAAAAGATATTACTTCTCTCTGCAGACCTTGTCTGTTGTAAAAGCAATTAGAAGACCCAGCTGGCTCCTCTGTCTTATCACTGTGCTTTTCTATCTTATCACTGTACTCTGAATGATTCCTCACTGTCCCTGGGTCTCACTGGGTTAATAATTGTCAGTTTGTACAATATCACAATTCATGTAGAAAATTCAACATATGATTCAGCGACAGAAATATATGTGGAGCAAGACAGCAGCTGAATGTTCCCATATAGGGATAGGGAAGTGATCATCCCCCTGTACTCGGCACTGGTGAGGCCCCACCTCGAATACTGTGTTCACTTTTGGGCCCCTCACTACAGGAAAGACATTGAGGTGCTGGAGCGCATACAGAGAAGGGCAACGAAGTTGTTGAAGGGTCTGGAGCACAAGTCTTATGAGGAGTGGCTGAGGGAACTGGGGTTGGTTAGTCTGGAGAAGAAGAGGCTGAGGGGAGACCTTATCACCCTCTACAGCGACCTGAAAGGAGGATGTAGCCAGGTGGGGGTCAGTCTCTTCCCCCAAGGAACAAGTTATAGGACAAGAGGAAATATCCTCAAGTTGCACTACGGGAGGTTTAGATTGGATATTAAGAAAAATTTCTTCACTGAAAGGGTTGTCAAGCATTGGAACAGGCTGCCCAGGGAAGTGGTGGAGTCGCCATCCCTGGAGGTGTTTCAAAGACTTGTTGGCATGGTGCTTAGAGCCACAGTTTAGTGGTGGACTTGGTAGTGTTAGATTTACATTTGGACTCAATGATCTTAAAGGTCTCTTCCAGGCTAAATGAATCTATGATTCCATATCACAGCAGCTCTTGTCTCCGACTGCAGTTGCTTTATGTATATTTTGCTCTATGTGCATTTTGCATGTCAATGCTCTCGTCCCTAACAGCTCAACTTGTGTGCAATACTCAAGCTTACACAAAAGTTCACTAACATGCTGTCTGCTTTGAGACAAATGCAAAAGGTAGTAGTTCTGAGGAGAAGGATCTAGGGGTCCTGGTAGATAGTAAATTGTCAGTGAGCCAGCAATGTGCCCTTGTTGCCAAAAAGGCCAATGGAACCCT